TTTTTTTTAAAAAAAAAACAAACCACAATGGACTACTGTTTTGAAACTAAACAAACACACACACACACACACACACACACACACAGAGGCACCACAAAACGGAAACCGAAGAAAGGGAGGGGCGTCCCGGAGAGAGAACTTGGGGACGAATCCGGCTTTCCCATCGTTGTCGCCCAGAGAGCCCTTGCCTGGCCTACGCAATTGTGGGTCCGCTATGTTGTGTAGTCAGATATAGGAGCTATGCAGGCAGCGCTGGATTGACAACAGTTGGTTTAGTAGCCATTCGGAGTTAACGACGGGGCCCGGGGTGGGGGGGAAAGGGAGACTTGCGACCATTTTTTCACATTTACGACGGCTGTGGAATCCCCGTGGTCGGAATTCGGGCGGGCGGCGACTCGTAGTTACGACGCATCACATGCAACCCCCACTTCCACCTCACAACACGCAAAAGCTCTCGGAGACGACAACCGCCCCCCCCTCAAATCTGCATCAAGCGTCAGCCCCCCCCTCCCTCCAGAGGCCGGGGACTACAACACCCATCATCCCCTGCAGCTGGTGGGCGTGAAGCTTCCAAGCATAGGAGGCCTAAAAAGGGGAAATGAGGCATGCGGATTTTTCAACCCTGCCCGGAAAGATTGAGATGGGGGGGGGGGGGAACCAGGCAAGGCTTATGGGAGTTGTAATCCCAGGAGACCCTTGTGCTAAAGAATTATGCTTAGGGGGTGGGAACCATGGGAGGGGCAGTCCATGCCTTCTGGGAGGATGGATGGTGTAATCCCTCTTGTGAGAAAAGGGGGAGAGGTCCAGCTGTGCAGACCCACATAATGGGGGAGGCGGGGGAGAGAGAATGGGTGTTGTAGTCCTCTCCTTATTCTGGGTCAGGAGGATGGGAGGAGCACAAGCTTATGAAGGTGGGGCAGATGGGCACTGTAGTCCTGCCCTCCTCCTGGGCCAAGATTCACGGGGAGGCTGTGCACGATGGGGGAAGGGGGGATATACACCCCGTGAAGGCAGGGAGGATGGGCTCTGCAGTCCTACTATCCTAGGCTAGCATGGATTGGGAAGTGATGGGTGGCGGGAGGGGCACACCCTGCGAAGCTGAAGCACATGGGCCCTGCAGTCCTGGACAAAGACTGGCGGGGTGGGGACGGATGATGGGTTAGTGTCCCAAGAGCATGGGCTCTGCAGTCCCCCCCCCCGCCTGCATCCAGGCCAGGACTGGAGGCCAAGGATGATGGGACGCCCCTTCAAGGCAGGAAGGATGGGCACTGTAGTCTGGACCAACATGGATAGGGAGGCTAGGGATGACAGGTTAGAGTCCCAAGTGCATGGGCTCTGTAGTCTGTCCCCCCCCCCCCCGGCCCAGGACTGGAGGACAAGGATGATGGGAGGAGGGCCACACCCCTTCAAGGCAGGGAGGATGGGCGCTGTAGTCTGGACCAACATGGATGGGGAGACGGTGCCTGATGGCTTAGGGTCCCGGGTGGATGGGCTCTGTAGTCCTCTCGGGGCAAGGATAATGGGAGAAGGGCCACGCCCCTCGAAGGCGGGGAGCATGGGCAGTGTAGTCCTGGGCCGTGCCTGACGGCTTAGGGTCCCAGGCGGATGGGCTCTGTAGTCCTCTCGGGGCAAGGATAATGGGAGAAGGGCCACGCCCCTCGAAGGCGGGGAGCATGGGCAGTGTAGTCCTGGGCCGTGCCTGACGGCTTAGGGTCCCAGGCGGATGGGCTCTGTAGTCCTCCCGGGGCAAGGATGATGGGAGAAGGACCACGCCCCTTGAAGGCGGAGAGCATGGGCAGTGTAGTACTGGGCTGTGCCTGATGGCTTAGGGTCCCAGGCGAATGGGCTCTGTAGTCCTCCCGGGGCAAGGATGATGGGAGAAG